ACAATTGTATTTTCCCCATTTTTGGCGCTGTTAGAACCACCAAAAGGTAATTTTATGTAGTCCTGTGAAGTTTTGTTGAAATCAGTTGAAAAATGTAGGAAATCCGATCCAATATATAAACGTTACAGACACACACACACACACACACACACACACACACACACACACACACAATCTGCGTTTTATAATAAGTAAGGTATTCCAACAATTCAGATTCAGACCTTTAGATATACGGATTTGTCAAATCTTACAATTCAGGTAAACTATTGATAAACCAGTCTTTTATATTCGAAACTGAGAAATGATTATTGAAACTAAGATCACTATTGCAACAGACATGAAAAGCAATATTCTATGTTATTGTTAATCATTATTAATAATTACGTTTTTTCATACTAAATGTTGATATTAATCTTTGGTCAAATTTTATTTAGATTTTCTGCCTGGAAGATGGAAGCCTGCATTATTCGAAATTATCCTTTTCTTTCGTTTACGTTTTACTATCAACTCTCTCTCTCTCTCTCATATATATATATATATATATGTATATATATTTAATTGCTTGTCATTCTCTACTTTCATCACTAAGAAATAGCTGTAAAGTAGGACCTCTTTATCCAAGACACCCTACTCCGGGTGAATGGCGAAGACTATTCGATGACAGAGGAGAAGCCCACCAAAAATATCTCATTTATGTAGCAGAACAAATGTAAAAATTAAGTAAACTAAAAAAAAGCATTTCCGTAATTAGTAAATAAATCTTTTTCTTTTTTTTTAGCATTACTCTCTAAGAATTTGATAATCTAGACATTGATGAATTTGAAAACATTTAAACTGATTCATTTTCTATTTTTTTTAAAATAGTTTGATTCGATAGTTATTTTTTTATTTTTGTTTGAACCAATCGGGATAACAGGTAAATGCTCCCAAAGGAGTTGATTTGATCCAGTTTGGCGCTATGAAAAGAGAACATTTTGTTTACAAGGTCAGAAAGAATTCGATAGTCTCAGGCGTTTAGACTGCTGCTGAAGAAAAAAAAAGTATTCTTAAAAATTTGACATTTTATCTCATATACTCAAATGTATATTTCTAAACCTATGAGATTTTATCTCATATTCGAATGTTAATCACGAAAACTTAATATTTTGTCTAAACCTAGCGACGTCTGGTGTAGATCTTTTCTCACACTTCGAACTTGTGAACTTACAATATAAATAAAATTCTTATTTTTTACTAAAATAAAAAATTGATGCTTAGGAACCGTTTCTTGTTTAAAAGAAAACAGGAATTTGTATTTACAACTGTTATTCTGCCTAGACAAGTTAAGGTTCACAATGGAAATTTTCTCTAAGGTATATTTTGTACAGTTTAGTATTGTAAAAGTATTTGTATTTTAAAAGTTTTTTCTTTCTTTTTCAAATTTCACTGAGTAAGAGCTTTGTCTTTTTCGTCATCACCTCAAAAAAAGTCCCTTTGGGAAAGATAAAATTATTTGTGCTATGAAGTAGAGTACTTTCTGGAATAGACGTTGTCATGTCAACAGACTGACATTCGCTGTGGTGTACTGCTTTTATAGCAGTACCTCATTTACATGCAATATAAATGTATTATATACATTTATATACATCCATAGAATCAAGACATAAGTTAACTGTAGAAGAAGGCATAATATGCAATGGAAATGTTATAATACCCCCAAAGTTTAAGAAAATAAGTACTAAAAGGTGTACACGATGATGTACATCGTAGTATAACAGCAACACAAATGAGATTAAAATTACAAGCGTGGTGGCCAGGATATTCTCGAGATGTAGAAGAATATATTACTAATATCAATTCATGATACAATAGTCTCCAAGGTCGTGAAAGGTTACAGGACCGAGAAATGCTCTCAAGGCTGCCCAACACTGTCGGAAGAATCTCGACTGATTCCAGAAGTTACGACGACGCTCAGTTCCAGAAACAGGAGATGGTAAGGCTAGGGAAGGCGTCCCCAGCACTCCCCTCCAAGATAGAGTCCTCTGTCAACACACGGCATAAGAAAGCAGATCTGATACTTGCGACCATCCAACAAGAGGGAGGACAGCAAGCCCTCGAACGACTTCTTACGGTCCCTACAGAGAGGGAGTACAGACAACCGGTAAATGGTAAGGGGAAAGACGTAAGTGGCACACGCCCCAACCCTGCCCTTCACGGAAAACCGCAGTCGGAGCCAAGTTCGGACCGACGCTACGACTTTGCCTGTACTTCCGATCAATTCTTCAGCTGGAGCCCCAGCCCAAATCACACTCCAAGAATGCGGAATGGTCAGTCTGTCCAATTAAAGGCCCCCGGAAGCACGACCTCCTTTCAGGCACCTAACTGCAAGCCGGAAGACTTGTTGCGGTTAATCTTGGTCCCCGTCAGCTCGCACCGTTCGAGCGCCTTCCGTACCACCTCAATGTCGCTGCGGCGCGACACGAAAATGGATACGTCATCGGCGTACGCAGAAACCCTGGCTCGAGAACCTCCAGGGATAGCGATTCCACGTAGGGTCGCCCTGTCCTTTAGGCGCGAAGTAGAGGCTCTAATGCCAAAGCGTAAAGTAGGGGCGACAACGAGCAACCCTCGCATCGACATGAACAAGATCCACCTTCACACCCAGGGTACGTTTAACCAGCAAAGAAACACCTCTGGCCAGCTGTTCCACATATGCTGAATAGACAACAAAGTCGTTAGATAGTACATAAGCATCAACATACCAAACAAATTGTGTCTCCTGGATTGCGACCACGTCTACACCGAAGAACAGGAGATCACGAAGAAGTCGAGCAGCCTTACTTCGATCTCTCAAAACCTTCGCATTCAAGCTGGCTAGCTTGATAGACATTTTCTAAGCGAGTTCCCTTAAACGCAGACTGGGCGGAAATCTGCAGAAGTCAGGACCTTGACGAATCTTTTTGTGCACTAGTCTATTAGTGCACAGGTCGGACGTAATCCGTCCGTCGGTGACAATACCGCCGACGTCCGTAGGAAAAGTTAATTTCGGGGCCCTGTATAACGAGGGGTGAATCAAATCTGGGATTCTTTTTCTTTTGGGGTGGGATAAGACAGGGGTAGGGAAATATCGGAACCCTGTTGCCTTACCTGCGTTTGTGTCATTTCTTGCTGGTGAAGCATGGCCGGATTGTGACATGTTCTGTCTCATGACTTCTGACCTTTTCTTTTTTCACATTTTTTCCTCTTCCTCCCCACCCTCTTTCAAAAAAAAGGATCGAGGTGGTGCCATCTCGTTTACCTCCATACCCTCATCCGGCAGCTGTAGTAGTTGATGCTGCTGCTGCTGATGACATTCTGTTGGGGAGGAGGAGTTGCCAACTTACGTCCTCTCCTCACGATCTCTTTCCAGTGTTGTTGGACGTTTCCTCTTCGACTGCTTCTGCAGTTACTTTTGTTGGGCGAGGGTGGAGCCGTATTATTAACGAGGTACGCCTTAGATATATGTTCCGCGGCGCCACAGGACCAGCATTTGGTCAACGATCCTGTACAACGATGAGGATCGTCCGGCCCCGATACGTCAAAGTGTCGGGTACATCTAAAGAAACACTGTAGGATATCCCCGGTGGCAATGCCCGTTTTACTCCTTCCTGTTGTAACTACTACACCTGCCCGTATTCCATGAAGAAGGCTCCTACAAAGTCCTCCTCTACACCCATGGGCACCTCCATGTAAAGTAATCTTGTTTCTTCGGGTGCCCATCAGTTTGCATTCTCACTGATTTGGTGTTGAGGATGCTTCCTGCTTGTGCTTTTGCCTCCTCTTCTGGTCCCAACAAGATGTTCCACATTGCGTATGACCTCCTTCAGGCCCCCTTTTTTTAGAGCCTGTCTATCGCTGTGATTTGAAAACCTATTTTTTTAAGGCTAACGATTTTAAAAAAAATTTCGACTGTAAGAAATTAGCATCGACTTTTTTTAATTTTGCATTAGAATGTATTTGAGTTTTGAATGTCTTTACGTTCTTATTAAATTCTACCCTGTCATATTTTGTATGTCTTTACACTTTTTTTCCGAAACTGGAAAATCATTTTTATCTAGAGCATGTATTGGTTATAGGACTTGGCACATTAGTAATTATTTAATAAATGTTCATCTCTCAAGACATGTTCTTGAAGGCTCACTGATTTCTCCTAAAATTACTCTAAAACATTAGTTTTAGCTTTTAGAGTAATCTCTATTTGATTGCATACAAAAGAAGCTATTTTACTTCTCTTACTTGGAGATTGAAAGATTATATTATTCCAGTGAATAAATGACAACGTGAATTAAGTGGAGCTATATGCTCTAGTTATTTTCTTTTCATTTTTTGAAAGTAGTTTGACAATAACTATTCTTACTTAAGACATATTTCATTCGGAATATATTTTTTTAAAAATTACCTTACTAGTGGACAATATTTATTTACTTTTATGATGGGGAAATATTTTCTTTAGATACTTTTTTTTTCTTTTTTTGTGCTTATGAAAGGTAAGAAAGAGTAGTTAAAAAACGAGAAAAATCAGCTTCTACACGTTGACACTAGCACACATTTAATTATTGGAATGTGATTTTCTTTAAAATATGTTTAGTAAAATAAATAAAGATAAAGATTAACTCTTAAAATATGCTTTCTTTGTCAAGGATGGGACATAATGAATCAATGTCACTTGAGATACGAACATAAACCTAAAGATAGAGAACCCTATGTGAAACATCTAAAAAGTAATGACCATGAGAAATTATCTTTGATTGCAAGAAAAAAAGTGGAAGAAGCCAGTCGTTTGACTGGGTTGGGTCCACAATAGGACGGCGAACAAAACTAGAGATTGTAACAACGGTATTCGTCGTTGTTCTTTTTCATCGCCTGCTGTGGATTTATCGTCATCGGATACATTGTTAATGTTGTTAACATATTGGGTCCATCAGATGGGACAGTACTACAGGAAAAAGTAACTAACTTCGTTGAAGAAAGCAAAAAATACTATGGATTTAGTTGCGACCCATGTGGCAGTTACTGCTTCCGATAATATGACGGAAAAATATCAGGAGAATAAAAGCCCAGAGCCTCAAGGAAACGATAATACTGAGAAAAAAGTTCAGGAAACAGATAAAGAAAAGGAAAAATATGACACATCCAAACCCAAACAACAAGGTAAACTAACTGTAAGGAATTTACTCATATGTAATTAATTAAAATAATAACTTATTGAATAATAAAAAAAAAAAAAATACCGAACCGATTTTAATGACGAATGTACAAGCAAATAAAATCCAGACCATAGATTTTTATCCAGTTTTTTCTTAAGAGAGAAAAATTGATTAATTCTGTAATGGCGTTATTAATGCTTGTTAATAATGTTAATTATGTAAGGTTAAAAAAAAACAAAACAACAAAAAACTAAAATAATTCTGGAAGAAAAAAATGTTCAATAAACGAAAAAAAGACCAACATAAAACAGGTGTTGTGTAGAAATTTTCAATGTATTACTTTATTCTCATTCTCTGTTTTTACGTGCGTCTAGCAATTTCAGAACAGGTTGAAATGAAAAAAATGACATAAGTTGAAAAACAATTATTCATTTCATTTGTTTCAGATTATTTGAATGTCGAGTAAAGAAAGATATTTAAAAATTGGTGGATTGTGTTTATCAAAATTTTGAAAGAATGTGTGATGATTTATTTTTGAAAGATTAGAATTGTTTTTTTAAAAACGATTTGAATTATTTAAGAAACAAAATAAGTGATCATGCATTTTATTGTTTCCTAAACGCCTAGTTTAAAATTAATAAATTAATTCTGAATTCTTTTCATTCGCATTATTAGCCTAAGTAAAATCTTTTATCTCCCGAACGAAAAACAATTTCTAAAAAAAAAAAAATTGCTAAAAATGAAATTTACCATTAACTTTGTCTTTGTTTCTTGTAGTAATTTATAACTGACAACTTATTTTTGTAATCTTTAAGTTAAAATATTTTACTACACTAAAAAAAACAAAAAAAAATCTGTCTCTATTTATGAGGTATTTTAATTATTTATTATTGTTCAGACAGTTGTCCTCATCTTTATTGTCATGTTCACGATGTTTCGGCCGTTGTACGGACCGGCTTTCTTCAGATGATTGGAATTTCGAACTGAACCCTTTATTTCGTCCACTGGGGTAGATTGTTCTAGTTCCACGTGTCATGCTTCTTCCGGATGTCTCAGTTATCTTCCTTTAATTCAATTCTCCAAAAGCGTTGTTTGGATCCAGTGACTTAACTCAAAGAATTGTGAGTTCAATACCTGGCTACTATAGTGGTGAACAAAAACTTGGGGAATTGAGTTAAAAAGAGATAACTGAGACAGCTGGAAGAGGCACGGTATGTGGAACTAGAACAATCTATCCCAGAGGACAAAATAAAGGGTTCAGTTTGAATTTCCAATCACCTGAAGAAGGCCGGTGTATACAATGGCCAAATGTTGTGAACATTTTATCTCTCTTGCAGATATTGAAAATGATCTTACTCACCAGTCAGCTGGTTCAGAAGAATATGAAATGACTGCCATTCCTGAAAATTCTCAAGGGGAGAACAATGGTAACCTAAAGGTATTATGTTGTGAGAAAGTATTTTTGTTAATGGCTGCCTGCACTGCTGCAATTGGGGGCATCATGTTTGGGTATGATGTTGGTGAGTAATATTGATATATGTTCAGTGTAATTAATTTTTCACTAATATTTGTGGTATAAGGCAAATAAAGAGATTTGTCAGAAACTATGATTAAAAATCATTTTGTGTTATACAGATTTTTAAAATATCTTTATTGTTTAGATAATAAATCTTTTAAATTATTAAAGTCCAGCCAACAGTAAAATAACAGTATATGGAAGATAGTTTTCATTAAAATCTCTGGTATGTAAACTTTTATGACCTCTAAATTGGCAACATTTGTGATCCTTAAAAATCTTTTGAAAAAAAGAAAAATTGTATTAACAAATAAAAAAAAGATGAATGCTTTCAAAGCAACTGAAGTGATTTGTTTAATGTATTACAAAAACTAGTTTTTATCTTTTGTAAAAAGATGAATTGCTACCAATGTGCAAACACATATACAAGGGATGATCCCAAAATTTTGAACATGATTACATTTCTTTTTATAATTATTCTAAATTATTGTTTTATTTGATTGTCTTATTATAACATATTGCTAATATATTTTGGTTTTATAAAATTTGAACATTTTAATTTTTTCAATACTAAAATCGATACTAAAATTCACCAAATATGAGGCTTAAGAGCAATTTGAAGCAAAGGATTACAATCAACAAAATGGTAATGGTGAATGAGACATGTGACATGAAGAGAGGGTGGAAAGAAAGATAGTGATAAAGAGGAAAGATGACAATTTACCATTCTTGAAAAGAAGTTTGAAGTGTTAAGGGAAGCACCCATGTGGGAGTCGGTTTCACAAAGTTTTGGTAAAAGAACTGTTTGGATGTAAGTTTCTTCTTACATTTAGAACATGGATGAAATAAGTATGATTTGACTTCTTGGAAGTAGCAAGGTGAGTCATAGCAGTAATTGGTCTGAACTGTTGGAACTAGTGAATGGAACACATTTGAACATTTACCATAGACATAGTGATAGAATTTTGCAAGCCTGTCACTACTCTATCTGAAGTTACAGAGTGGGGAAACAAGTCCTCATCCACAAAATCATGTGAATAATTTTGGACTTTATCAAATCTGGAAAGTAAGAATTGATTATTTCCAGCTCAGATATGGCTGCAAGTCTCCATTTTGGTCTCATTTGATGCTTGTAAAGATAAATCATAGAAGAAAAAGCCATTGTTTTTCATATTTTATTGTTATTTACATTTCAGAAGCAAAAAAACATTGAAATCTTGGATGACCGACAAATATCAGAATCTGGAATTAATGTATTGTTCTGATATTGAATTTTTTAAACATTGTTACACAGGAAATCTATAATTGCTTGCCAAATGTCTACCATAAGGGCTGCCTTTCATATGCAACAGTCAAATTCAGCCTTGAGATGAATCATAGTCAAAATGATCTTTGTTGTAAATAAAATAAAAGTATTCTTTTCCTCCTAGCTGCTTTTACTGGTTCCCCGACTTCATGAATTCAAGCGCCCTACGAGGCTGGCATCCTGCTCTCACACTTTCATTGTAGAAACTTTTAAATGTATCCATCTCTTCTACTCCAATAGCTTCATACCTCGCACCTCTTGCCTGTGGAACACCCTTCCCTATTACTGTTTCCCTGAGAGCTATAATCTCCAACTATTCAAATGTAATGTCAATGGACATCTCCAATTACCTTGATCCACTATCCTTCTTCTCATCCTTTCCTCTATCACTCCGAATCGCTCCAAATCTTCTGCAACCCCCTGCATCCTAGTGGCTTCCCGCCTTGCTCGGGTTGTAATGCTTAAAAAATAAAAATTAAGGGGTTCAAAACCTTTGGAAAACCTCTTGTACAAATACATATATACAGTGAAATTCCTGGTGTTTTTTTTTTATCTGTTTTAGTAACAACCCTGTTTTATGAGCAGGACCGGATTTAGATGAAGAGAGACCCTACTTGTGAGGCTCCTCCAAAACCAAGTAGCAAAATCATCAAAATCTTTTTGTTTATGTTTGTCACTTTTAATGTACAGAATGCTCAGTGCAGACATCCTCTTCTAAGAGCTTGTGGCCCTTAATCCATTTTTAATTCTTTTGAGTCTTGAAAAAGACTTTTCTTCTGAACATTTAATGACCATTAAGCTAAGAAATAGAAATAACTGCAAGATTGCTTCCAGGAAGGCCATCTGAATTTTTTCCTTATATATAATTTCATAAAGGTCTGTATGAGTTACAAAGTGACATTCTGTAGGCCTATGGCTTTTGTTTTGACATATATGTGGAAGTACTAAAGTTCATTAGTAAGTTTTCTTCTATCAACAGTTCAACATCTTGCTGATTTTCTTGTTTAGATAATGTCAGATTGGCAAGAAAGGAAAACATTTTTGAAGTAGCTCTTCTTAAATTGGTTTCAAGTGCATCTAGTATAGAAATAAAATTTTTATCCTAAACTTATCACTTGAAGAGAACTTAATTGAAGGCATCATGACCAGGTGTGCCTCCATCATTTCCTTGCTGTTTCCTTACTATTTTTCTCTTTATGGCAGTTCTATAGTTAACATTTGGCAAGATGGCTTTTGCTCAAGTTCATCAAAATCTTCTGTAATTTTGCATAAAATTGTAATAAGTGAATTGTACAAACTTGCACAAGTATTCAATAACATTTGATTTCTGAATGGCTTTGTTGACCTTGTGAAAATGGCCTAACACATGGGTTCAAAAATGTAGCATGAGCACAAATTCTAGTTCTTCCATTTTCTGCAAAATATTGTTAGCCTGTTATCACTCTTCACATTAATATCAGAGTACAAGTGACTGAGGGTATCAGTGATAGCACTGTAACTTTCCAAAATGGCTTCCATGGCTTTTGCATATGCCTCCCACCTAGTGACTGTCAAATATTTAGGCACTTGAAAACTACCCATCTCTTTGTTTAGGATGAAAAGAAAGTATAAATTTCATTGATAATGCCAAAACAGTACACTGCATCAAGGCAGCAATCAACAGCCTTAAATTTAAAGTGTGACCAGCACATGGAATGAATCTTGCAAATTTGTTTGTTTGGTGTTTTTTTTTGTTTTTTTGTTTTTTTCAATGATTTTTTGCTGCCAATGTACCTACCAGCCATGCTGGCAGCATTGTCATAAGACTACCCTTGACATTTTCTCAAATCAACGTCATGCTCATTAGTGAGATAGTTAAACACTAAATCAGCCATGCTTTCTCCTGAGTGATCTTTTAACTCAAGGAAAGTTAAAAATCTCTCACTTGGTAAAACATCTTCTGGTGATATATATCTGATAATTAAAGTCAATTGATCAGTATATAAACAGTCAGGAGTGGAATCTACTGAAAAGCTGAAATATCCAACCTTTTTCATGTCAGCCACAATTATGTCCTTAACTTTCTTTACCATGATTTGAATGATTTCTTCACATACAGTTTTTGACAAATAAGAGAGGTTTGCTGAGCCAGAATTTCCATACCAATTGATATCAGCCAGTAAAAAAAGGATTAAAATTTGCTATTAGTTCTAAAAGACCAAAATAATTGCTGTTATTTGGAAATCCAAATAATTCATTGTTTCCTAAATGGTAAGCCTTGTTCAGTAAGAGTGCATATTACAACAATAATTAGCTCCATGACATGCCACCATGTTCTACTTCTATTTGTTCCTTTAGCTTTGAAGTTAACATTTATCCTTGCTTCCTTGTTAAATAGGTTAACATAGCATTGCTGTGCTTCTCTGAGTTTTCATGAATTTGGATAAGATATGAGTTTTGGCAATCATCAAACCATTCAGAAGCTAAAGCTGTAACAGGAGATGTAATATTTGGAAAGAGTTTACAAACAATTCAATCAGTGGATGATGCAAGAAAGCAGTGATTGGTGTTATCTTCTTTATTGTATCCTCTTCAAGTCTCTTTCTCTTGTGCCTGCTAGTACGATTTTCAAATCTTTTACTCAGGCTCAGATTAGAATCTGCAAGTAAAGAGTAAAATTATTCTTCAACAGTTATTTGAAAGGAAAACATGAAGGGATGTTGTTGAGCCAACAAATGTTGTAATGTCAACTGTCGCAAAAATTGTCATTGATTTTTGCAACATTTGTTAGCTCTATAGACATTCTCACAAAATGGGGTTTACTTTAGTGAAAAATAAAACAAACTTTTTCCTATATAATGTATATTTAGGCATTTTTTTCTGAAAGAATTGTTCTTTATTGATAATTATATTGCAGAATCTTAATCAAATCTTCTTCCAAAAACTGTTCACAAAACAAGTTTGACTTTTTCTATCATCAACAAAGATGCTAGAAATAAACACAGTTTCATTACTAATTTGACTAATGAAAATGACAAGGTCCTTTTCAGATACTTGCACAGCTGTGTTTTGTACTTATCTACCTCATTTCTTTCCTGGAAGGACAAAATCTATAAAGAAATCAATGCTAGCATTGAGTTATCAGCTTATGACAGTATTATTCTGAAATGGAATGTAAGGAAAATTACTGAAGGGTTGTTTAGAGTCTACAATGTGTTATGATAGCATGTGTTTTTTAAGGTCTATGCCAGTGTCAAAAATATTATACACATTGGCTGGAGGTGCCCTAGATTTTGAGACCTAACGCTATAGGAAAATCTGGCACTGGTTATGAGTCTTAATAAAAATAGAAAAAATACTGTCATTCCAAATTATATAAAGATACATTTATTAATGAAGAATAAGATTACATGCATGTAAAATGATTAAAGGAGATATTTTGTTTTGTATTTCATGACATGTATTTAGCAGAAATTGCAACTATATTATTCCTTTGCTATTTGTAAGTATCATTTCACCCCAAGCAAAGTGGGAATGCCACTAATATGCTTGGGGTTACAGAGAGTGAAGTTGAGAGAAAATACTGGGTATAGGAGGGATTGAGGAAAGGATAAAAGCTGACCTGGGTTCAAGAAGATAGAAGATGGCAAATGATTTCAAGAAGATGGCAAATGATGTTGCATTTAAATTTTTGAAGATTGTAGTTATCAGGGAAGCAAGGATATGGAAGGGAGGTCCATAGGCAGGAAATGTGAGAAAAGAAACTATTGGAGTAGAAGTGACATTTACCTAATTCAACAGTAAAAGGGTGGGACCTAAATGCCAATCTAGTAGCATGCTTAAAAATACATAGTCTGGGCACCAGGGGGGAAAAGCATGTCAGAGCAGTAGCCATGAAAATATTTGTAGAAAAGAAATAGGAAAACCATGTCATGTTGGTGAGAAAGTGAGTGAAGTCAAGATGCCAAGTCAAGATCAATTACATTGCAGATCCTTCTTTGTATTTTGTCAGAAACATCAGGATGAGTAGCAGGAGCATCAGATCAGATATAGCAGCAATATTCAGTGCACTGACAAATGGTGGATTTTAAATGTTCAAGATGGACTTTGATGAGAAAAATGTCTTGGCATTACACAGTGACCCAACTTTCCTTGCAGTAGATGCAGCTATTGATTCAATATAGGCATTCCACTTTAAGTCAGTTGAAAACATAAGGCCTAGAAGATGCAGTGTGTTGATCCCCATGAGTCTAGTATCAGCCATGCTGATGGTGGGCAGGAATAAATCTGCCTATTCATCTATAGTTTACGCCAAAATTGAACAAATAGATGTTCTTTGATCTGGTAATATGACTTTTATTTTTACCCTTTTTTTTCCACTTGGCTCATTTATTCTTTTAATTTTCCAGGTGTCATTTCTGGAGCTCTCCTTCAGCTCAGACAAGAGTTCCATTTGTCCTGTAACCAACAAGCCATTTTAGTCAGTTTTCTGCTCTTAGGAGCCACTATTGGAGCAATCATATCTGGTAGGTATCTTCATTTCCACAAATCCTCTATTTATTAATGTTTTAGGAATAAACTGCACAAAAAAGATTTTAAATCTACTATTGATGTTCATCTAAATGAAGAACTGAGGCAGAGTGAGAAACATTGTTTTTAATATTAATCTATAATTTACAATTATGCATATTACATAAATCTTACATTTATTGGCACTAATATTTTGTTATAAATTTGTATTGGGGATTTTACTAATGCTTCTTTGACTTATCCAATTGTTACAGCTAATCAATCAGATTGGTCTTCAAAATATTTTTATATTTTGTACTTTTAAATTCTCTTCAGATTATTTTTTTCAAAATGATTATTACACATTGATATTTAATTTATATAATTTAATATGTACTTCTCGAGTTTTGATTCTGATGAATAAGAAAAACAAAGATAATTATAATTTTTTTAATACCTTTGTCCCCTTTGTTTTTGTTTGTCCTTTTATACAATTATCAATTTTACCATTTTCAATAAATTAAACAGTTTTATTGTTTCTTATTCCAGGTTTCCTGGTTGACCTTTTAGGGCGGAAACTGACTATTCTTGTCAATGGTATTATCTTTACTTTGGGTTCAATCACACTTGCCTTGGCTAAGTCTTTTTACATTCTTGTACGTAGACATTTTTGCTGTTTACCAATTTTTCTTTTCTTTTTTATCATGAAAGAAGCCAGATGACAATTAATGAATACAACATGAATTATTACTTAATCTACCTGTAGCCACCTTTTAATCCTAATAAATTAGCTTCCAATAATGCAAAATAAGGGTTTCACTCAATTTGTATGAATCAACAGATAACATATTAGACTTTTGAAATTAATGGAATAATATTAAAGTGTTTAGTATCAAATAACTAGAAAAATAATCAGATGAACATATTAAATTTACAGAAATAGTATCAAAGCAACTAAGTTAGCTTAAATATATAATGAACAGATAAAAACCAAGCAAACAAAATATGTGTAGATTCAAATGACTATCAGCTTCACAATTGGAAGGTGGGGTATTTATTGACAGAATTTGCAATCATGTTTTTATAAATTATTCTGTTTAAATTTATGAAATCAATGAGTTATCATTATTATACATTAATATATTTAGACAAAGTTCCTTATCTTGGTTGTTATAATTACAATATTTTAGCTATAGTGCTTATATGAATGTCTTCTGTTGTATTTAGTGAAATTTTGAACCAAATCTTTGTTTAGTTCACATGAATAAATTATTCTTTTTCTCCTCTCCATGCTGAGATATTTTGTAATGATTTATTTTTCATTCTTAATTCATCCACATGAGCCCACATTTTTTTCCCACTGAACCAGTGTGTATGACATTCACTGTCTGATCCAGTACACAAAATATCAACATATTGGCATGACAATGTTTCATCTCTGGAACCTTGGTGAACAAGTTCAGAAAACCAAATGTACCAACTGTTTGGAATAAATGGGAGTATCTTTAATTGCTTCTATATATTGGATAAAGTTCTTCTTACAGGACAGATGTATCTGTTAGGTGGTTGGCTACACCTACCAGCAATCTGCTCAATGTGTACTGATTTCCGATAACTATATATTCTTAATGAAATACAACAATCTTTATGAATTTGGGGAAAATTGTACATGTATGTTAGCTCATTGTATTATTGATTCAGATCTCTATTATAGTCAGTGTTGGTGAAGTGATCTCTGTTCAGGATTTGTGACAACATTTTGGTTTTCAGGATTAGATACTTCTTTAGACTGTTATTGCTACTATCTCCAGGTCAGCAACTTGTCTGATGGCAGTATGATGATGTATTGTCAAAATTTCAATAGCTATTCTTTCCTCTTGTGATGCTCAGTTTGAGAGTTCATCAGCCTGACCATAATTTAGCACTGTTTCCTCAGAAGTATTTTTAACTTGAATTTGCATGTGTTGACAACAGGTTGATGTTGAACCTTATATTATGATATTTCAACCTCTCTAATTTCTATATTTGGCATATTATTGGGATCATGATCTGTGGAAATATGAATGAAATTTGGTGTGGTTGAACATGTTCAAAATGAAAAAGGGATAGAAAGGTTCAAATTATGAGTTTTTTTCACATGTATAAAGTCTGTAACTCCTGAGTGTCAATAAAGATCATATAATGGCTGATTTACACTTTTAAAATCCACATTAACACTACTAAAGAAGAGTTTTTTAAATAGTGGAAGCTGTTTCCAATCAATAATATACTTGTAAAACTTGTGCCATACATTCACTCTTGAAAAGAAAGTTCTATTTTAAAATTTGGACAAATGTAAATTTTTCATTCTCACCATTGGCCATAGTTGAAGATTGTCTGCCCCTTGTCATTGGTGATATTTGGCTCAGTCAAAATTTTGGTCACTGACTCTTGTCTGATTCACTGTTGCTAGATTTGAATTTGAGATCTGAATAGATTGCTCTACATTGCATTCTGACTTATTAAATAACAAAGTCTCTCAGCTGGAATGTTTTCCAGTAAAGGATTTTAGTTGAGTGAACATATTGTACACACACACACACAAAGAATAAATATGATATCTATATTGGTGTTGCAAATGCACTAAGAATATTAGTAAATCTTGTCAAGTTTTGAGGCAACTGATATCTATAGCTGTCCTAGTTTTTCTGGGGCTTACATAAAACATGAGAGTAAGTGTGAAAAAATTGTGTTGCTCTTTATTCATTAATATTTTTTTGGCAAGTAATATTTATGTTGTGTTTGATACAAGTTTCCCTGTTCATTCTGGAATTTTATGATTATAGGTGGTGGTTACAGCATGGTCATAATGTGCCACCAATGACTCCTAGCCCAAAACTAGTTATTTATCCACTTTGTTTACTTATATTGAGAATTGCCCAGATGTCAACAAAATAATTTGTTTGAAAACTGAATGTTCACTTGTTGATGGGAAAGATTCCTCTGTTCAGTTTCTCAGCAATGAGTTTAATATTATTTGTTGTAGAGTAGCTAGCAACACTCTACCAGATGGCCTGGCTCATAGCCTTAAATAGTCTATAATGATTTCAACAATTCATTAATAAGTTGATACTAAGCTGATTAATATTCGGACTGATCTTACTTCGTTTAGCTATACAGCATTTGACCAGTTTCTATTCCTTGTAAGTTGTCTTGTTAATTGTTTTGTAATTTATTGTTCTGTGTTTTTTTGTATGTGTCCGTTAGTACTGGATACTGTTGCTGAATAAATATATTAAGCACTCATTCTTTTCTGTGTATCATTCGCCTCGATGATACAACATTATTTAAAATAGATATGATTTTTAGTTCTCAGGTTAAGTTCTCATGATAATGTTGAAATTATCCAGGCTCATTTGTTTTGCCAACCCACTTAAGCAAAGATAGCAGAGAGAATTGGGTGAGACTGGGGATTTACTTTGTTGTGAACAATTTACTACATCTGAGTAAGACATAGTAAACTTAGTAAGTTATCCACTGGTTTGAACTTCACCATGGTTTTCTATCTATTCTTAATTGATTACATTTATTGCAACTAATTAACATTTTTAATTCTTTTTTTTTTTTCTTAATTTTTCTCACTTTCCATAATATGCTAAAAGAATATATGCATTAATGTCACTTGATGTGAGGAGAGAGATTTCTTGATGCATATGTGATTATAAATCCAAAAACTTTTGAGTTTTTAAGTTATAAATCATTCTTGCTAGTAAAATATTTTCATACTAAAAAATTAGAAAATGTGATTAGTAAAATTCTATAAAATATATTTCGTCATTGATAACCATCTTTTTTAGTTAATCTACTTATTATTTTTATACACAAGTTATAATAGTTACATTACCTGAACAGGAAGGAATTATTGATCTTTCTGTATACATGTTGACACTGGTGTTTGACAAAAAAAGTTAACCTTATTGTAGTAATCTGCTTATCTTTTTTTTTCTTTATAACCAGGTGTGTGGTCGATTATTGCTTGGGTGTGCTGTGTCTATTTCTGCAGTAGCAGAGTGCATTTATATCTCTGAAATAGCCCCAGCAGTAAGTATATTTGCTACTTTGGTTTATGACATAAGTAAATTAGATTTTTAAATGATCTTATTTCAAAAGAAATTTGCAAGGCAGGGTAATCTGAATGCTATCAAGAGAATGATGCTTTTTAAAAGCTAATAATACCTCATCTCAAGTATGCTTTTTCAAGGGTTTTATCAACCTTACATTCAAGCTGCTAGTGGCCCGTCAGCAGGTCGTCGATGGCAATGCCAGTGGTCATCTGGTGGCAGCCACCGACAAGCCATCAGTAGTAACATTGCCAAGAGGAACACACTGGTAGTCCAACAGCAGGCCACCAGCGGTAAATGCTAGTGGCATGCCACCTAATGGCAGGCTTGCATGTAGGGAAGTAGTTGTGGTTTATTCAACTCTTCATATGTGGAATTATTATGCAAATTTATTTATCTTTTCTAAACATTAGTATCTTTTGGACAAAACTAATGATTGGTGAGTAATGTTTGTGAAAACACTAAATTCTTGAAAAATGGTTTTCTGTTTTTCTAATTTAGATTATTTCCCTGAATGTGTGAGTAGTCTAAGAGTTAACTGCATTGATAATGGAATCAACAGACTGAATTCAAATTGTAACTGGGACAGTTTGCATTTAATTTGCACTAATAACCTTAGTAAAAGGATGAAACTTCAGCTGTAAATCAATAGCAGCTGCAAAGGCATTCAATTTTGGAAGTTTGATGATAAATCAGATTAGAGATCATTCCTTGTTGCTGGTATCATATATCCCATTACAGCCTGTCTCATGTTAATTGGGCATAGTTTGGAATGAGATTGGTATTACCAAGTAACCACCATTTCCTTAAGAAATGTCATGAATAAGAATTACTCAGGTGAACTAATAAGTCAACTGAAAAATCCATGTCCATTATTTTAATGTAAATACATCTATGCACAGTTATTTTCGGGACCCTCTGCCAATTATTTGAATCGTATCAAGCTCCAGGGTTATGGCATTACGGGTCGATTGTTTGACCTAATACAATCATTCCTGTCAAACCGTGAATTGAAGGTTGTTCTCAACGGATTCTCCTCCAGTTCCTATCCCACGAACGCAGGTGTTCCTCAAGACTCCATCCTAGGCCCCACTCTATTCCTTATCTACATAAATGACCTTCCTGACACCATAAATTCCCAAGTTGGCATCTACGTGGATGACACCACAATTTATTCCTGCCTCAAAAACAAATCTAGTGTCACTGACAAAACTAACCTGGTCGTGCGTCTTGAAAAGGACCTCCAATCAGTTATGAACTGGGGCAGGAATTGGCTGGTCAACTTTAATGCTTCAAAAACAAAACTGCTCTCTATTAATCACCACAGAGATCCTTCCCTGCCCTCCATTAGAATGTCTGACGCTCAACTTCTCGAGAGCACCTCTCTGCGGCTGCTCGGTTTCACGTTGACTGCTGACCTGAGATGGAACAAATACATTGAGTCAATTGCTTCGTCCACCACAAGGAAAGTTGGCTCCCTGTGCTGCGCCAGGAAATTTTTCTCCTCTGAATCAATCCTCCAGATCTACAAATCAACAATTCGCCCTTGCAATGGAGTATTGCTGCCATATATGGTCTGGAGCCCCTTCTGTTTGCCTCGGGGTTCTTGATAAGCTCCAGAGGTGGATATGCAATATAATTGGCCCTGCTCTGGCATCTCATCTACAGTCAATTTCTCAGACGTGTTGTCGCCTCTTTCTGTCTGTTTTACAAATACTTTCATGGCAATTGCTCCGAGGAGCTGCATTCGCTGGTTCCCAGATTTCATGAGTTCAAGCGTCCTATGAGGCTGGCATCCCACTCTCATCCTTTCACTGTTGAAACTCCTAAATGTAGCTGTCTCTTCTACTCCAATAGCTTCATGTCTCACACCTCTCACCTGTGGAACTCCCTTCCCTATTCCAGTTTCCCTGAGAGCTATAATCTCCAGCTATTCAGATGTAATGTCAATCGACATCTCCAGTTGCCTTGATCTATCCACTACCCTTCTCCTCATCCTTTCTTCTATCACTCCTATCTGATCTTGCTCCAAATTTTCTGTAACCCCTTGCATCCTAGTGGCTTCCCACCTTGCTTGGGGTGAAATGCTTAAAAAAAAAAAAGTTGTAGATGATTAGTCCTGAAAAGTGAATAAATTGAGAATAAATAACTATCTTTTTATGTTACAATAATTTTGTTGAGAGATTTGTTGTTCCTAATTCAAACCAGTATATAGAATTGTATTATATTTTATATTTTCCTTTCAGAAAAGACGAGGTTTGCTTGTATCGTTTAATGAATTGGGCATCACTCTTGGCCTTTTGATATCTTATCTAGTCAATTTCCTTTTCATTGATGTCAATCATGGATGGTAAGTTGCAGAGCTGCTTTCATAGACAATGATCTCTCTCTCTCTCTCTCTCTCTCTCACGAACACACACACACACACACACACACACACACACACATACACAGCACCAATATTAGCATTGGTTACTTAAGTAACAGCCTCTCATAGTTCCCTTGGACTTATGTCACCTTTTAGGAACTCTTGGGTGGGGGTAAAAGTCTCCCATTATTATTGTATGTGCTGCGTGTAGTTCTGCATGAGTTGTGAATAAAGCTTAACCACAACCCAGTCTATCCAGGAGTTATTTACTTCTTACTAATATTAAAATCCCTTAATTTAATATTGTGATATGAATAATAAATTTAGGATGTAACTAATTTGAAATTAACTTTTCATGTATTAGATCATGTTACTATGAAAACTTAGGATACTTTTGAAGAATCTGTTTCCTTAAAAATGTTTGAAAATCATACTACAACAATATTTGTAGATTTCTAATACTATTTCTCTATGGAAATAGAAATATTACCATTACTTAATAATATACACATTTATTAATTTTCATCATTGCACATTGCAGCTTCTCCTTTACTTAAAGTTACTTTTGAAAGTTGTTTTATTTTTTTCATGAAAACTGCTTTTGTTTGGCTCAACAATAGTTGTTCTTTCTTTTGAATCAGAATGACAACATTTCTCTGTATTACTTTCCACGTTTTTTTGTTTCTCCAGGCGATACATGTTTGGTATTGCTGCTTTCCCAGCCATTTTTCAGGTAGTGGCTATGTTCTTCCTTCCAAAGAGTCCACGTTTCTTATTAATGAAAGGAAAGGAAAGGCAGGTAAGTTGTTTGATTTATTTTACCTGTTACAATAGAAAGATAGAAAAAAGTGGATGAGATAAAATTAAGATAAAAGCCACTTTATATACTTATGGTTATCATTTCTCTATTTAGAACTCTTTATAAGTACCATCCTGAGATATATTTAGATATATCTACTCTTTAAATATGTTTTATCTTTTGCTGATGTTTTTGACCTCCACAAAATTTTCATTCTCTTACTTTTTAATCTTTCTTTCTCCCTTTTTCAAAATTATATTCCCGATGAAGGTTTATTTTGAAAAATTTAAATAATAAATTTTTATTTAGTTTTGAAAAGTAAATTAATAAAATAATTTTCCTTTTCTGTTGTTTTACTGATTTTTCTCTCTTCTAAAACAAAGAATGGGATCCTTGCCACAACAGAAATTTTATTTCAAATTTATTTCTGAATGCACCACTTGTCTGGTAATAAAAATTAGAAAATATTTATAATTGCATATTTAAAATAGATTTATTCTCATTCAAACTGTTCAATTTGTACAACAGGATATCAAATAAATATATATGTAAATATGTTAAAATAGTTTAATAATTTAAATGAGGATGATCCATCTCAAGATGTGGATTTATGCATAAATTATATACTTTCACATCGTTTGTCATATCACCAAAGTAAATATATAAGTTTTTGGAAAAAGTGATGCATCCATCTTGTGACAGAACCCAATTGTAAGATGAGTCTGTGGCAACAAACAAGTCAAAGATATTAGACAATGTCTAATAATTTCAACAGTATGATTAATGTCAGACATAAAGTGAATTCCTTTGCATGCATTGTTTATTAATAAAAGCATTAAGTTCAAATAATTTTAAGTAGTTTTCAAATATAATAGAAGTTAAACTTTAAACTTTACTTTCTCTTTCCAGGCTGCAAGAATTCTGAAAAGACTTCATGGCCAAACAATGATGGAAGTACAACTTAACTCTATCAAAATGGCTTTACTGAAAGAAAAGGTATTAAAAACATTCTTTTCTTTCACAGAGAGCAGCAGATTAAAGTATTTATACATACTTATGTGTTATGATGTTTTTTAAATAATATTTTTTATTTCTTTTTGTAACCCTTTATGAGAATTTATTGGGTGTACTGATTACTTTTATCTTTTAAGTTTAAAAAATTAAATTGCCTTTCACTTTTAAGAGCTGAAAAGATTATACTTTCATGATTTTAGTTTTTTAATTACAGCAGTAATTTTAAGAACCTTATTGGACTGAAGCATTTAAAAATTCTTTAATGAAATTAAATTTGTCAGCTCATTCATTGCAGAGATTTAAATTCAAAGACTTATTCCAGTCTAGCTATAACATGAGAGGACGCCTCATTTTGGGATTTGGTTTGGCCTTCTTTCAACAGGTAAGAATATTGAACCAAACTTTTAAAAAATTAATTCTTTAATAATTCAATGATTGGAAAAAGTTAATGACAAAATATTAAACTATTATAATCTTTGTAAATTAGAATTGTAATCATTTTTTATGTTTGAAGACAAAAAAAAAAGAAGATTTTGTGAGGTTTCGCAATTAGAGGAATAACTTGCTAAATCAGTTTCCTCAAATGCTCTTTACAGTATACAATTAAACAAATGTTAATGTTTAAACTGAGTAATTGAAATTTCTTTTCTAATCTACTACTATTATTATGCTATTTTGGATAGAAAGGCTAATCTGGATAACTGTTGCTATTGAGTAATGAGTTTGATCCTCCCTGAGTACCTTATAAAAAAATTCAGTGTTAATCTAAATGTTGATGTCATAAATTAACCAACTTATCTGCCCTATAATTATCAACTTAGAAGTATAAGATGCTGTTTCAAATGATATGTTGGTAACATATCATTTTTGCTACATTAAATGAAGAAACATTGGCTTCACACTAAAACATATATATTCCATCTGAGTAACTGGAATTTGTAAACTCTATAATACCAACATATAAGATGATACATCATATTCATCTTCATTAATATCAAGGCCTTCCATGTTCTTTTCAGTTAGCAATTACAGTATTTCATCTCTTCCTCCTCTTATTGACTGCAATATATTATTATGCAGAATTTTAAATTCCTTAATCTCACATATATCTAATATTCTATATTTTTGTATACTTCCTTTTCATTACAGTTCACAGGTCAACCTAACATTTTATATTATGCCCCTGTTGTCTTTCAAGCTGTTGGTTTCCCTTCTGATTCTGCTGCTGAGTTGGCCACTTTAGGCCTGGGTACTGTCAAAGTAAATATTTCCTTAAATTTTATGACAATAAACAAAATTATTTTCATATAGTTTTATTTTTAGACTTGCAAATAAATTGCAATGAGTGTTAATTTTATTAAACATCTAAATTTTATCATTTTATAGCCAGTTTAGATAACATAAATCTTTTATCAAACAAACATTTAAATTCTGAGAATTGGTTCTGTGCAAAAAAAATGAATGTCTGTATCTTTGTAGTGTTAGTTTGTTTAGTTTCTCTTACTATTCACTATTTGTAGTGTTAGTTTGTTTAGTTTCTCTTACTATTCACTAGTGAGTATTTACTAGTTTCTAGAAATAAAAAGGAAATCTTCATAGTATTATGAGTGTTTGATTTTATCTTTATAGGTGACTGCTGCTATTGTATCACTGCTGTGTGTGGACTATTGGGGAAGACGTACATTTCTGATGATTGGTGCCATTGCCATGAGTATCAGTCTCTTGTTACTGAGTATTGGGGCCCAAATACAAGAGAAACATTTTCCTGGTCACAAAATGTGTACCAATTGGGAAATGCAAACCTCTCCGTCCCCTACCATAAGTGTTAATATTGATCACCTTCACAAAACAATCACAAACAACTCTTACACTTCATCTTCATCTGCAAAGCACAAACGATTTTTTTATTCATCATTTGTTCAACTTTCTCATGCAAACAAAATATTTTGTGACTCACAAATTGTACGTAATGTTAGAAATGTAAAAAGCTATCAAAACAAAACACTTCATATTGGTATTCAGAATGGTAGCCTTTGGGTTTCTACTACTGTTGAACCATTCAGGAATTCTACTGGAAAATCTGAGGAATCTGCCAGCTTTCATTTAATTCATATAATAACAATACTTGCTCTAATGGGCTATGTTGGAGCATATGGCATCAGTTTTGGTCCAAGTAAGTAATTTTTCTGAATATCATATTTCTACATTCTTTTTCACTTGTTTGATATTTCAAAGTGTACTTTTATTAATGCAAAATTATATGCCTTTTAGAATGTGTTAAGAATTATATATTCTAGGAATACATTACAAATCTATTGTACAATTTTTCTTTCTAGGAATAGGATTGCCAATCCAACAGAGTATCCCCTTTTTATTTGTATGATAAAATTAAAATGCTAGAAGCAAATAAAGCAGTTCTTTTTTATATGTCATGATAATATGTACTGAAAACTAAACTTCAAAGGAAAATGAATAGGTTTTGGTTGCTATCAAATACACTTATGAACATCTCTTTTCTTTACTCTCTTTGCTTGTATGTATTTTGTAAATTTCGTCTTGTTTCTTAGGAAGACATTTGACAAAAATTACCAGCATGTTTTATTTGTAAAATTGTTACAAAAAATACAAATCTTTGTTCCTAACAATTCTATTAATATTTATGCACAAAATATTATTGAATTTAACAAAAAAAAAGATTAATGTTTAAAAATAAAATCAATCTTGAAATCTGAACAAAAGATTTAAATTAATATCTGCTTAACAAATAGTATAATCAATGTAGTTTATTAATCTTTAAGTGGTTCCTCAATTGATATATTGATGCATTTCTAATCATGTTTTTTTAAATGTTGGGAATCCTTTTTTAGCTGATTATTATGTCTATGCCAATATGCACATACACATGATTTATGCTATGAAAACTCAATCAGAACTTTATAGAAGAAGCTAAGCAACTCTTGTATACACTGTAATTAAAACCCTTTTGGTGGTTTCACTTTAATAATTAATGCATATAAATCAGAAAATATGGTTTTCTTTTTAAAGATTGGTTTGATGATGCATTTCTGCTTCTATTTAACAGTTACATGGATCATTTTGAGTGAGATTTATCCACCAGCTATTCGAGGACGTGCTGTTGCCCTAGTGACAGTAATAAATTGGGCAGCAAACTTTATAGTTTCATCCATGTTTTTGCAAGTGATTTGTAAGTATAAAACCATTTAATTTTGTTAAGAGACAGCAACAAGAGATATTAAAGATCATTTGTTCATACCTGAATTGCACATAAAGATTATGAAGAGAACAGAATAGATAAACCATAAACTCCTGCCATCATTATTACAGGAAGATTTTCTCAAATATTTGTCAATAAAAATAGATTCTTAAAACTCAGTTTTCAGAATGTTGACTTTTCATGGAATTATAAAATACATTTATACTTAAAGCATTTTGCCAATTTAACATATCATTTGAATCCCAGTATAATGAAACCATGTTTCTGTTCTTCTATTATTTTCTTTTGTTTTACTTCATTTTTTTTCTTACTTTTAATCAAATAAAAAATCTTTTGAAAATTCATTTCATCACAGCTGGTTGCTGAACCATTTAAATTGTTTTAATTAAAAATTAAAAAGACATAAGAGTAATTTCTGCTTTTGATTATACTATCATCTATTAATCATAAATACTAAATAAAAATTTCTTTTTGGTTGACAGAACTCATTGGTCTTATATTATATATATCTTGTTTGTTGATAATCTCTGATCATCATTAGATAAAGATATCTCTCTCTTGCTAATGTTCAAATAATTTAACTTGCAAATAACTGAAAATAGCTGATTGATGGTAATGGAAACAGCTATACAAATCTATTAAAGTCCTGATTTCAAAATCACAATATATTTATGATGTATTTATTTCCTTATTTCAGCCCTTTTCACATTGCCAGGAACATTCTTCCTTTTCACTGCCATGTCAGTTCTTTCAGTCATTTTTGTGTTCTTCTGCATTCCTGAAACAAAAAACAAAAGTCTTGAACAAATTTCCAAAGAGCTGTCATCAACGTACGTACTTCCCTCACTTTCTCAGTCTTCCATCCAACTCTTTCCTTTTCTCTCCCTCTCTCTCTATCCAGCACAAATATTTTGCTTTTAGTAATGTTGTTTTTGTTCACTAAATTAGAATTAATAAACGTACATCTGTTCATTTGAACCAAATTTTGTGTTGTATATCATCTTTTTTTATTCTTATATAAGTTTTTTTATTAGTAGTATAAAATAATAATTAATTAAAAAGTACAAATAAATAAATGTTAAATAGTCTTATACACTTACTTTTGTGTGTAAAAGTTTTTTTTTTTAATTTAGAATTGGCTCTAAAAAGGACCACCAGAAATAAATGTCATGGTGGACTCGGGGATTGCTTTCAAATTCAGAAAAAATGTGTTACTCTTGTATTTTTTATCCAATGAAAATGGTGGCTTATGCCTTTGTAAATTTAAAGTTGAAGCTCATTTGATCCACACACTAGGGTATTTAAGAAGGGTCAGTCAATGAATGGCAGAAGGGGGTTAGGCAGCAGAAGGTGGTTAGATGTCACATAGAAGGGATGAAGTATGCTAACTGTGGTAGAAGGGAGTGATATGTCGCACAGAAGAGATGAAGCCTGCTGACAGCAGAAAGGTTTTAGTTTTCCTTATGTGAAAGCTGCCAGCAGAGCAAAGTATAGAAAGGTTTCGACATTCTTAAAAACTATGCTGACAAAAGATATTTCACAATATTTTCTGGAGACTCTTGTAGAAAAAGCAAAACTCAGTGAACCATTTGGAAGCCAAGCACAAAGAAAATCTGAACAACATTGCAAAAAGACTGTTAAAAGCCACAGTGAACTAAATGGGACCCAAGCAGAAAGAAAACAGAATAACACTGAAAAAATATTGTTAAAACCTACCTGAGTATCTTAAGAGTAATACATGGAGGTTTTTTTGTTTATCTATTAGGTGGTTGCACCTCTTTTTTTTCTAAGAGTAATTTTTTTTTTTTTTTTTCATGATTTGAAAAATTTGTATTATGAATCTTTTTTAGAGCCAATTATTTCTATAATTTTATTATGTTATTTTGCCTTGTTTGTTATTGCATGCACCTTTTTTAACATTCGGGATAAGAGTAGACACTTTTTCTTCTCCCATTACCTTCAAGGGATTAAAAAATTCTTTTAATTTAAATTTATTAATTATTGTAAGTTAATTTCTTTTACTTAATATACAAATGGTTATGCCTATAATAAAATATAAATAAAACAGTAATACTATTTAAAATGTGGGTGATTTTAAGGTAAATCATTGTACAATAAATAATTTAATCTAATTTTGTCTGTTTTATACACTCTTTCTGAAATAATTGTATTTTCACTGAATGTTCTTCAAAATAGAAAAAACAAATGCAAAAACTTGCCTTCTCCTCCACATCATAATCATTATTTTCCTTCCATTTATATATAATATAGAAGCAGTTATAAAAACATTTGCATGGATATTTGTAGGTGTTTTCTGTAATTTATTTGTATTTTTCAACGACCTAATTTGTATCACACATTATTTCTAATGTAATAACAAAACACATATGCTCATATATTGTTGATATTCAATGTGACATTAAGAATATTCATCTGAATAAATGCTAAGACTTATTCATTCTTTCATCTGTTTTTATTAACTACTTTTCAAGGCTATAAACTAAAGGATTATTTTTATTAAAATGTAATAAATAGATTACTCTTTTTATATTAACATAAAGGCAATCATTTATATACTTTGTAAACATAAAATTTCTTATATATCCACATTAAAATGTTCAATGGATTCAAATGATAACATTTTTCCTTCACTCTGCATGTTTTGTGTTTAGTGTCATTGATGTTTCTTTACTAAATTGGAATGAATAAAATTAATAATAAAATATAATAATAAAAATACAAATTATCTTTCTTTTTTCTATTGAAAAATGAAGTTTTTGACTAATAAAAAAATAAGATTTTTCTAATAAAAATAAATAATATGTAATCTCTTTAGTTTTTACAAAATATTCATTATTTGCTGAACAAATAATTTGATGTTTTGTTCAGGCCATTCAGTGGAAATAACAGATGATGAAATTGAAACGACTCTGCATGAATTGTCTGCTTCATTTCTTTTTTTTTGTGCATGAAAAATATTCAAACTGTTTCTCTTCTGGCTAAGGTTGGTAAGTTATATTTTTATGTGTGAGGTTCATAACATTTTTTTAATTTATATTTAAAATTTATGAGAATTATGTTTATTTAAATATATTTTAATCAATGGATTTATGAATATATTCACTTATTAATAGAAGTGGATTTTTCATTTCAATACAAGTTTAGTACATAGAGATAAGTTTTAAGTTAGTACAGTATTTTACAATGAAAGCCAGAGAAATGTCAGGTGACCTTAATTGATGAGTTTGTGTTTCACAACCTACAACAGTAAAATATTTTGTAGCCATAGCAGCCATGTAATCTAATTTGTTAAGAGATACTGCTTTTATTTGATTAAATAATTGATTAAAATATTTAAATAAATTATCTAATTCATTTGTTAGTTGTCCGTATTTTGTAATGCATAGCTTTATAAATAATCAATATTATTTGATGATAAATACAAAAGAAAGCTCATAAATGATGTATTTTACTTGTACAAAAAATGATTATGGTTAGTTTAATTGTGAATTTGAATTTAATCTCTTTTTTTTTTTTGTTTCAGGAACTCCTTCAAGTGTATCTGGTTGCTGAAACCCTGTTGTTATATTTTAACACATTTTAGTTGCACATTCCATAACCCTTATTCAGTGGTGTCAATGGAAGACCAATCAAGCTCCCCAAGAAGTCTCTGAGGCCAAACTCATTTGAACAAATGTTATTTTGTGATTTTGTTATGTGATTGTTATGACTAGTTAACATATTTTCATTAAAATGATTCAGGAAAACTAATCTCAACTTTACTGCATTTGAATGATTATGAAATTCTAGCTGATTGCAATGAAATAAAATATTTGATAAAAATGATCTTCCCATTTTCAACTTCACACACACACACACACACACACACACACAGGGTGCGACAGATAATTATGCAAAAATGAAAATAATATTGACATCTCATTTTAACACGTTTTCTAAAATTACACAAAAATATCTTGAAATACTAAAGAGTAAATTTATTCAATAAAACCATCATTGGCTTCAACCATGGACCCCAGATGACTTTGAAATCTGCAACTCTTCTGAATGATCTCCTTATTTAAATTGGTGAATTATGCCATAATCCTTGGCTTCAGTCTATCTTTGATGTTACAAGGAGTTTTGTTGGTCTCTTGCTCAACTGTGCCCCACACATAATAATCACGGTGGTTGCAGTCTGGGGAGTTAATTGGCAAGATGTAAGGTGTGATGTGGTTGCAGAAATTGTGTGACACTTGTGACTGGGTTCTCCTGCATGTGTGGCATGGGTCTTTCAGTAGCCACCCTCCTGACCAAGAGCAGTATTACCTCCTCAATACACTTGATGTAGGCCTCTGTGTTGAGCCTGAGGCCCTCACCAACAAATTCAGGAGTTCTTTTCTTAGAACAATCAGTGAGTTTTCTGAGCTACCAAACCTTCATAATCACCATTAGACTCATCCAACTCTTTCTGAATCCTCTGTACTGTCTTCAGATTGATACGCAAACACTCTGAAATGTTTGTATTGTAGCTTCTGGTGTGAATGCCAAGCAGTACAACATGCCATTTCCAAATTTTTGGCAGAGTGTATTGCGTCCTGGAGCTCTTTCTCTCACAGACTGTGCCCAACTGATGCTGTGCAGTCAACAAAATCAAAAACAGACAATATGCACATTGTGTGGAATTAAAATATATAATGGCAACAATTTACCCATCGCACTCTGTAAGTGTGTGTATAAAAAAAATTCAGATAGAGTATATCTGTAAAGGACTATGAATAAATTTTCCTTTTGTCTTATATATATATATATATATATATATATATATATATATATATAATCTTAGTTTTAAAGCTATTAATGGATTTTTAAATCCAGTACTATTTCTTATTACTATAGACATTATATTTAAACTGCATCTAGAGATTATATGCAAAAGAGGTATTGTCAAATATTTTATGTAAAATTCATAGATATGTGTTATCCATGTGTTATGAAATAATTTGTACTATTGTGTATAGCGAGTAAGCATGAAAGCAATTAAGTCCCAATTTTCAATTTCAGATTGATATTTAGTATTTTTTCAGTAATTATAGCAATTTGCAGTGTCAAGAGATTATTTGCAAGAACTAGAATTTAGTATTATGGCTTGTAAAAAAGAACTAACAATGAATGAAAAGAACTATATAATCAAAGAAATTAGCAAAGGAAAGTCTTCACTTCAAATTTCTAAGGATTTGAAAAGGGATCATCGAACAATCAAAAAAATATGTCAAATGGGAATTCAACCAAGGAAAAAAAGTCTCAGGCTGAATTCAGGAATTTAACAAAGTGAGATCTATCACATATCCGAAGAGAATTAATAAGAAACCCAAATGCGTCAAGTGCGTTCATATTTGAGGCCGCTGGGGCTCCTATGGTGTCAAGAGAAACAAGGTGTAAAGCATTAAGGAAGTTTGCTGATGTAAAAAATCAAATAAACCCATTTTAACAAAAAAACAAGGAAAGAAGATTGCAGTGGGCAAAAAAAATACATGAAAACTGATTTCAGTAAAGTGCTTTTTACAGACGAATCAAGGATCACCCTTGATGCGCCTGATGGATGGGCTTGAGGATGGGTTTGCAAGCAACATGACTCAAGAAAATTTTTTAAATGCTAACAAGGTGGCAGACGGGGTTAAAATGAATTCCAAAAGTTACTGTGATTTTCTAGAGCAATATTTCTTTGAATGGCTTGATAACCAGTATTTAGCCAAGCGTAGATCTATGATGTTTATGCAAAACAATGCACCAAGTCATGCATCAAAGTTTATTGTTGAAGATTCTCTTATGGACTGGCCTTCAAATAGCTGTGACTTGAATCCCATTGAGAACCTGTGGAGCATCCTCAAGAGAGATATTTATTCTAATGGAAGGCAATTCAACAGCAAGTGTGACCTCTGGGAGACAGTTAAAGTTGCTGCAAACAACTTACCAGCCGCTAAAATTGCAAATCTAACATCAGATATTGACAATAGGCTGCTAAGAGTTATTGAAAAGAAAGGAGCATTTGTGCAATAAATTTTAGGAGGTTCTTATTATTTTTTGTTAATATATCTTTTATTTTAAAATAAAATGTTTTTTTTTATGTTTTTCCTTTAAGAAATTGACGAATTTGTTCTAAAATCTTTTCATATTATTTTTTTACATTAGTTTTACAAGGTATAATAATGTAAAAGTATCAAAATAAATAGTTGCAAATAAATTACTGACAGTCAAATTAGTCTGTTTTGTTAACTTAGTAAAATTTTTTCCAACCAAAAACAATAGTTTTCTCTATCACTATATATCTAAGTTAATAATATTGAGTAGAATCGAAACATCATAATAGGACTTTTAACATTAAAGACACAACTCTTTATATCAATTCATAACTTGCATATAATCTCTAGGCGCAGTTTAGTGGATACATGTTTGAGTAGACATTCCTGCTTTATTTTTAACAGTGAAATTTATGTCTACTAGCCTAAAGATTAAAAAACTTAAGAAATAAATGTCTCTTGACAGGAATTAACCTGCATTGCATTTTTCACTCAAAAGCTGCTTTCAAACCAAATGTGCATTGTCATTAAACTATGAGAAGCAATTACAGCAAAGCAATGCTCAATTACCCTACTTAACAAATGCACATATTTCTCAAGTTAACTCTAGGAGAGCATCTCACTGCACCTTCTTGGCCTCATGTTTTCAACTGACTTGAAGTGGAATGCCTATATTGAATCAATAGCTGCATCTACTGCAAGGAAAGTTGGGTCATTATGTCGTTCCAGAAGGTTTTTCTCGCCAGTATCCATCTTTCACATCTACAAATTTACCCTTCATCTGTGCATAGAATATTGTTGCCATATCTGGTCTGGTGCCCCTGCTATTCATCTCAAGGTTCTTGACAAAATCCAAAGAAGGATCTGCAATGTAATCAATCCTGACTTCAGTGACTTTCTCACAGACATGATGTTCCCCCATCCTGTCTTTTCTACAAATATTTTCATGGCAACTGCTCTGACAAGCTTTTTTCCCTGGTGTCCTGACTACATGAATTTAAGTGTTCTACTAAATTGGCATCTAGATTCCATGCTTTTATGTTAAATGTAACTGCCACTTCTACTCTAACAGTTTCTTTTCTTGCACTTCCCAATAGTGGAACTCCTTTCCTCTTGCCTTCCTGAAAACTACAATCTTCAAAATTTAAATGCAACATTAATCACCCTATTCTTTTGTCTTGAACCCCGTTCATCTTTTATGCTTTCATCAAACCCTCCTCTACCCACCCAGTCTTTTCTCTCACTTTCACTCCCCACGTACTAGTAGCATTTCTTCCTTGCTTGGGATAAAATGCTTTAAAAAAAAAAAGTTTGATATTTTTGCAGACTTATCAAATGTCCATATCCATAAGTACACAGTCTGATCACCAATTATCTAAATGTTACATAACTACTTCCTGTTGAGGAGAGAAAGCAATGAGACAAATTGTTCTGTAATTGTCCTTGTATTCATATAATTTTTCATAGTGTTTAAATGAGTATTAATGAATTTAAAGATTTATTTGTCAGCATTAAGAAAAAATTAGAAACATTTAATGGTTGAAGAATAAAATTTTTTGATATCTGGATTTTTAGGCATTGGTGAATGAAATAATAAAAATAACACAAATTGTAGATCTGAGTTCAGCTATGACTAAAATGTTCTATTAATAAAAGCTTATTAGTTTTGTATTGTAAATGAATTATTCAAGAGAACTTTGGAAATGTGAAGAAAGAAAGAAATTCATTGATTGAAGACATAAAATGAAAACCAAAGCTGACATTATATGAAGAAAACTTTTGAAAATGTGAGTATGAGTTGGGAGATATAAAATCTGATTTAAATTTGAATGTTTTTGTGATTTGAATATTTTCTATTTCACAAATCAATATTTTATAGCTTGGAAGAGAGATGAAATTGAAATCTTTTTCCATGACATTCAGCATTTTTATACAAATATATCTTTCAATAAATTCATTTTTGACTTTTTTTTATAAAAATCAATAAGATTCTGGACTACAACTATTTTTATATAAATTAATAATTGATTAACAATATATTGTCTTGGTAAATGCATATTAACTTCCGTTTTGTAATGGATATGTTCTTTTTCTTATTTTCCTTCCACTTTAAAAACTCTTCAAGTTTGGTATTGAGTGCATTTCTCCACATTGCGTATCCACTTTTGGTTAAAAAGAGTAATTTATGATAACCTTAGTTATTATGCAGTGGAGACAAAGAAGTATTTGGTCATTTATTTAATATAGATCCATTTAAAATTATACAGCTGATGCATTTTCTCTTATACAAAAATTGATGACAATATGGTGTAAGGGGAATAACTCTAAATTTCTACAGTGCAACGCGATACCTATAATTATAGGGTTCTTCTATAAAAAAAACAAAATGTCGCTAAAATTTTTCTATGTCTTAATCGCTATGTAATACTAACCACATTCATTTAGATTTCGATTCTTTACGATATACCAGTCGCTTTTCAGGATCTATTTAATGCATTTGAAATTTCAAGTAGCACTTGAAATGTTATACATTAATGTGCGTGCATACCGTTTCTCTGCCTTCTATTCTGATTCTTTTCAACAAAATCAGGATG